GTAACGAAATGTGTAAGGACCTAGAATTAGAAAACCTAAAGGGAAGAATAAGGTCAGCTTATCTGAAATGGAAAGAACTCAAGAAAAAAATCCATGCCTCGAGTTGCAATGTTGAAAGATTCTATAGGCAAAATATTGAATGTGGGAAGAATACACAGAATCACTATATCAAAAAGAACTATTCGGCAGTCCATTTCAAGAGGTAGCATATGAACAAGAACTAAGTGCTGAAGGAAGAAGTTCAAATTGCACTGAATGCATTAGCCAAAAACAAGGCTCCAGGAATTGGTGAAATGCCTATAGAAATGTTTCAGCAAGCTGAAGAAGCATTGGAAACACTCACTCATATATGCCAGGAAATTTGAAAGACAGCTCCTTGGCCAACTGATCGGAAGAGATCCATATTTATGCCCATTCCAAAGAAAGGTGACCTAACAAAATGCTCAAATTATACATCAATATCAATGATTCTGCATTCAAGTAAAATTTTGCTTATGAATGTCCAACAATGGTTCAGCAGTACATTGACAGAGCGCTGCCACAAGTTCAGGCCAGATTCAGAGAGGACGTGGAACACGGGATATCATTGCTGATGTCAGATGAATCTTGGCTCAAAGCAAAGAATACCAGAAAGATGTTTAGTTCTGTTTCTTTAAAGGCATTGGACTGTGTGGACCATAATTAACTGTGGATAATGTTGAGGAAAATGGGAATTCCAGAACAGTTCATTGTGCTCATGAGGAACTTGTATATGGATCAAGAGGCAGTTGAGGGAACAGAACAAGGGAATACTGCATGGTTTAAAATCAGGAAAGGTGAGCCTCAGGGTTGTATCCTCTCATCACACTTGTTAATCTGTATGCTGAGCAAATCATCAGAGAAGCTGGACTTCATGAAGACTGTGGCAGTAGGATTGGAAGAGGGCTTGTTAACCTGCATTGTGCTGCTGAAAGTGAGGAGGACTTGAGGCACTTGCTGATGAAGATCAATGATTATAGCCTTCCACATGGATTACAACTCAATGTAAGAAGACCTAAATCCTCACAATCATAATAAAAGGAGAAAAGGTTGAGTTATCCAGGATTTTTTCTTACTTGTATCCACAATCACTGCTCATGGAAGCAGCAGTCAACAGATCAAAAGAGGTGTTCCATTAGGTAAATCTGCACAAGTACCTCTTTAGAATATCAAAGAGCAAGGATGTTAGTTTGAGGACAAAGGTGCACCTGACCCAAGCCATGGTATTCTTCATTGCATCATATGCATGTGAAAGTTGGACATTGAATAAGGAAGACTGTAGAAAAATAGATGCATTTGAATTGTGGCACTGGAGAAGAATATGGAAAGACCTATGAGCTGCTAAAAGAACAAACTGGTCTGTATGGGAAGAACTAAGACCAGAGTGCTCATTAGAGGCAAGGATGGCAAGACTTAGTCATACGTACTTTGGACCTACTGTCAGAAGACACCAGTTCTTAGAGTAGGATACCATGTTTGGAAAAGTGAAGGGGTGGTGAAAAAGAGGAAGGCCCATGAGGAGATGGATTGACATAGTAACTGCCATCAATGGGCTCAGGCATAGGAACGGTTGTAAGGATGACTCAGGGCTGTGCAGTGTTTCCTTCTGTTGTGTGTAGGGTCGCTATGGGTTGGAGCCAACTCAATGGCACCTAACAACAATTTTCACATACATATGAAGTAATGGAAAATACTATGGCTTAAGTCAGGCACACCTTAGTCCTCATAGTAACCTCTTTCTTTTTCAAGACTTTAAAGAATTCTTGTGCAGTAGATTTAGCTCCCAACTCATATGAAGCTATACAGGATTTCCAAGGCTGTGACTCTTTACAGGAGCTTTCTTTAAGAGGTACAGTCTCAGAAACCCTCAAGGGCAGTTCTGACCGGCCCTACAGAGTCGTCAATATGAGCCAGAATTGTCTCCAATTGTTGCCAATGAACACTTCTACTGTTCCTCTGAATCACAAGGTCCACAGTTCAAAACCACCAACCTTGTGATTCAGAGCCAAATGCAAACCACTAAGCCATCAGGGTAATGTGCAGGTAGCTGGCAATGGCTACTTTATCTGAGGGCAAAAAGTGCAGCTCATGTTTTTTTTGTACAGAGGAACAGTAGAAGTGCTCACTCCAGTGGCAGGCATCTGAGAGTCCCCAACGGTGGCTCATCTGGCTGCACACCTTGGGTATCACCAGAAGAGGATTCACCAGAGGAGGATTCCCATTGTGGCTTCTCTCCTAGATCGGGAAAATCTTTCCTGATTCCTCCCAATATCCTAGAAACCCTCTGGGACAGTTAGACTCCGTCACAAGGGGTCACTGTGAGTCAAAATCTACTCATTGGCAACTAACAGAACAACTCATTTTGATGTCGACAGTTTTGAATATTTAAAGCTGATTCTTTTTCTTAAACAGTTTAATTTTCTTTCTATCCGCAATGGATGTGGTGACCAACAGTTTATTGTTATCATGATAGTAGTTTCACAAAATATATGGTCAAGAAACACATCTCAGTTCTCCATTAAGGTAATATAAATCCAATTTCTTCCAGGATGCAACAGCCCTATTGCTGATTTTTCTAAGTCCTTGTACTGTGGAGTCCCAAACAGCACACACAGGGGCCGACTCAGAAAGCTGTTCTGAGCCTTGCTCCTAACACACATCCATGGGGCTTTGTTATGGTGCAGATTCTGATGCAGGGGCTCAGAGTAGGTTTGAGATTTTTTTAGTTCCAACAAGCCCCCAGGTGATGCCGATTGATGCTGCCCAGAGGTGGAACAAATCAGAGTGTGGGAGCATATAAAGAGATAGGGAATTAAGATAAACTTGAGTGAAGGTTTGTTTGGCTCAGCCTATGTGTATACATCTTAACCCTCGGTGACTCTCACTATTGGAAACCAACCACTCATTACTCAGCGGGGTTGGGCTCCTATCCGGCCCTCAGAGGCGGGGAACCTGGCTGGAGAGCTAGCTCCCTTTCTCTTCCTCCTTCACCGCAGCCCTGGAAGTGAGTATCCTTCATGTCATGGGGAGCTCTGATAAGGTGTGCACCCACCTAATTGAGGGTGTGATATGATTTCCCGAGGCCCCTGGCCACTGACTAATAGGAAACTCCATCTTGGTAGTGGGAAGTGTTCTTTTGGCATTCTGCCTCAACTCAACTGCTTTTTATAACAATTGGGCTCCAAGAATGGCTCCCAAGGCAAGCTGTTATCCCTACAATGGACCTTCAGGAACTGGCAGAAGATATTTTTGTCAGCTCTTCAGATTCCCGTTAGAAATTCTCAGTACTTGTAGGAATCTCATCATGGTGAGTGACCTACCAGTGACCTGCCGAACGAAGAAGCCTGCACCATGTCCCTCAAAATATTCTGCTCCTGCCTTTCCCGGATGATTTCCCTTTGTCTCATTCACTGCCTTCACTGTGCTCTTCAAAGCTGTAGACATATTCCAGTAGGCTGAAGACAGGAAAGCAGTTGCTGCAGGCAATGTGTGTGTGTCCGTCCGTCCCACAGTCTTTCAAAACAAAACTAGAAAGAATTCTTTTCATTGTCTTCCTGGTGAACTTTCCTATGGAATTCCCCCATTGGTTTGCAACAATGACTTTTAGAATTGGGAGATCTTATTTAGTGTGTTCGTCTCAGTACATTCTGCGGAATGTTGATGGTGTCAGTTTATGGAGTAGTTGATTAATGGATTGGTTCTGTAGTTTTCGAATGTCAGGTTTATGAATCATCTGGAAGCCTAGGCAAAGTACAAGTTGATTGCTCAGCCCCACCCCCAGAGTTTCTGATTCAACAGGGCGGGAACCCAGTTATAACAGCAACAACTAAAGCAGTTGCTGTCAAGTTGACCTCAGCTCATGGAGACCCATGTGTGTTAAGAGTAGAAAGGTATTTTCAGTGGCTGGGGCTTTTTTTTTTTTTTAAGTCAATTACCAGGCCTTTCTTCTGAGGTATCTCTGGGTAGTCTTGAAACTCCTAAGCCTGGCGCTCCAAAACCCAAAATGAAACTCACTGCCCTTGAGTTAATTCTGACTCATAGTGACAGAGTAGAACTGCCTCTGTGGATTTCCAAGACTGTGAATCTTTATGGGAATAGATAGTTTCATCTTTCTCCTATGGGAGTGGCTGGTAGTTTCAAGCAGCTGATTTTACAGTTTGTAACCCAGTAACAGGTAACCCAGGTACACCAGGACTCTGAGTAATATCCCAGTGTGCTGACACATACACAATCACTTACTTATTGGGTTCCTTCAAGATGGAGCTGCTAATAGAAAGGTTGGTGGTTTGAAACTACCAGCCACTCCAGTGGTAACCTGCTTCAGTAAAATATTAACCCACTACACCACCAGGCTCTAGAGCCTGAGAATTTGAATCACCATCACAGCCCTGTGCCTTCTCATATCTTGTTTTATGTTATCCATGGTAACGGGGGATGTTGGCACATGTTGGTAGGAGCATATGCATTATTCATCACCATCATCATCTGCCAGTCCTCATAAATTTTTTTAAACACTCAGGCCCAAGAAAACAGCATCTCTTCTGAGGTTCCTGTGCAGTATACTGCCTTTTGTGCAAACCCAGCTTATTTCCCATAAGACATCTTGGCTTATACTGGAGTTGAGAGACCAGTCCTCTAGGGGAGAGATATATGGATGCATAGAATGGGGGCAGGTGGGAAAGTTACTCTCTGCCCACATTCCTATCACTAAAATACATACCATATGTACTTGTGTATCAGCTGAGTTTTTCAACATTTTCTTTTTGTGCATTTTTTGTAAAATTAGGTGCTTTGGCTGATATTTGGGTCAGCTTATACTTGAGTATATACGGTACTTTGCTTTCTAAACTTACTTTGGAACTGGGTGATTTACAGAGCAGATCAACTTTCCATTCAGTAATTTATGCAAAGTTTGTTTCATCTCACTGCTGGCAAAAAATACATGTTTTTCAAGATGACTAATGCACTGCTTTCTGTCCCAGTAGTTCTGGAGCCACCCAGGAGGGCCACCATGATCTGGACCTACGTCTTGAAGACCTGCCCTCCGAGGAAGAAGAAGCCACCAACAGTTCTGATGAGGATGACATCAGCTCTGGTTCTAGTAAAGGAGAGCCAGACCCCCTGGACGATAAACAGGTATGGCTCTTTCTTTCTTTTTAGTTTCTGATTTAGGAGAAAGTTTACAGAGCAAATTGTTTTCCCATTCAATGATCCATACATACTTTGTTTTGTAAGCAGGTATGTTTTGGTGCTTAATTGTTTCTACTTTTGTACTTATTGACCTCTCATTATGCTTGAAAATAATACTTATTTGCATAAGAGGCCCAAAAGTCATACTAGTGAATTTTCTTGAAGGTTATAAAATATTCTAGCAAGATTTATGTTTGCTTCCTAAATCTAGTGTCTAAGATGTTATATTTCCAAGTACCTAACAGATAATTTTGTGTTATTTGTGTGTGTGTGTGTGTGGTTGTTGAGAAAATATGTTTTTGTACTTTATTAGGTATGAAATAAAGATTGTTGTTAATAATATATCATTGTGTGCTTTTAAATAATGCATTGTGTGTGTTGGGGTTTGAATTATAATATAAAAGTACCAAAATTGGCCAATTTTATACACTTGCTACTTACACAGTTGCTAATTGTGTAAAATGTTACTTTTGTGTCCATTTCTTATAGGCTTTGCTTCCTGCTTAAAATATTTTACTCCATTTAATCCATTTTGGGCCATAAATGAACGGCACCTGTTGATGTTGACCTTGTATATTGTTTTCAGAGTATAGTGAGTTTTGGAGTTCAACTGTCTTACAAATCCCCAGCATTACCTTTTAAGATAAGCCCAAAGCTATTGACCAGTGAGTCGGTTCCAACTCAGAGTGACCTTCTAGGGCAGTGTAGAACCGCCTTACGTGGTTTCCAGGGCTCTATTCTCTGTGGACGCAGGCTGTCACATCTTTCTTCACAGGAGCCACTGGTGGATTTGGATCACCGGACTTTCAGTTAGTAGCTCAACTTTTAACCACTGCATCACCAGGGCAAATGGGGAAAAATGTACTTTCAGGATTGTGAGGATGATTGGTTATCTGTAAAACTCTAAAACACTGTTCAGAAAGCAGTAGTAGTACAGTGAACATTTGTTTGTTTTCTATTACTAGCAAGATTTGATTACTGTTTTGTAAAATACTAAGTCAGGGAGTTGGGGGTAACCACTGAAAATTATTGAGCAGGGGAGTTTGTAAGACTGTTAAGATGGAAGAATCACTCTGTTCTTCAGACACACCGCTTCCTTCCTCAATCTATGTGCTTTTACTTTGACTTTCAAGTAATTCCTCCTGTGTTTTCCCAGCGTCTGCCTTGCTCTAATTGGGGAAAAAAAACCTACTTTTTTTTTTTTTTTTTAACTTCAATATTTTATATTGGGGGGGGAAAGGCAAAAAACTAATTTTCATGGCCAGAGATGATACAGATCTTTCTCGAATATCCACTGTTGCCATCTGCTGGATTGCAAATCAGAGACCCTTTATAGGGTCAACAAAGCTGTAAATCTTTATGGGAGCAGATTACCTCATCTTTCTCCCGCAGAGCAATTGTGGGGTTGAACCACCAACCTTGTGGTTATCACCCCAACACTTACTTGACAGAGCCACTAAGGCTCCTTCTGATGGGGTAAGAGGGACCATCAACTGGAGTTCAGAGTGTACTGTTCTAGGAGTGGTTGTAAAGCAAGAGTGATGGCTGGCAGCAGTGGAAACTGTTTAGGTAAAGGCCTCTGAGAAAGTGCTCTTTTACTGAGAGTTACGGTAAATGATTTAGAAGAGTTTGAAGATGAGCATTCAAATAGTTTTCCTCCCCAAGTTCCGTAATTAACAAAACTCATTGCTGTCAAGCCTGTTCTGTCTCATAGCGACCCTGTAGGACCAAGTAGAGCTACCCCATGTTTTCCAAGACTGCAAAGCGTCACCCCACCCTTTTAGTTTGGAGTCTACCTCTTTAACCCCTAGGCCACCAGGGCTTGAGTGCTGTAATTAAATAACCTTTATTCCCTTTGTTAAACAACCCCAACCTGTATTTGTTTTCTCTCATTTTGATCTGTGTGTCTCATTTGAGCCATCACCCCCACCCCTGTTTCTTTGTGGTGGGCAAACTGGTTTCTCACTCTCTCTCTCTGTTTTTTTTTTTTTTGGTTTCTCTTTTCTAGTAAGGATCTCACTGGTCTGGCCTGTAATGGAAGGCTGAACGATAAATCTCCAACCTTTCTGTCAGTCATCTCCCAACACATCCCGTTGTAATGCTGCCTCGTTAACCCACTCGGTTGTAGTCAGTGGGCTCCTGGGTTCCTTCCTTGCATTTGTGCCAACCCCTCCTTGCCCTTCCTGTGTTTATATTGTTGTTGGCTCGTCCTTGGTTGTATCACATGGCAGCATTCCTGTTCCATAGTCAGCTTTTTAAAACTGCAGTGGTTTCTGCAGTGAATCTGACTCATTTAACAGTCCTGTGCACGATGCTATGGTCTTAAGGAGAACAGTCTTGGAGCCAGCTCATCTGGGATTCCCCCCATTTATTTGCTCTGATCTTGATCACCTCACTAATTTCTCTAGGCTTTAGTTTCCTCTTTGTGCAAACAGAAGAAGATTGTTTAAAGGATTCAATCATTACATGCTGCTTACAACAGTGTGTGACAGATGGGTACTATAATTCTTTATGATTATTATTTTTAGTTTTATTGTTATTGCAAATATACACAACAAAACATACTAGTTTAACCTTTTCCACATGTATTATTGGTAACATTGATTATATTTCTTTTTTAAAATTATTAAATTCCTTGAATTGTGCAACCACTCTCACCCTTTAATATCAATGAACTGCCTTGTAAATATTTTATCTTAGAACAACAGCTATTCAACAGGTCAGGAGTTTGAAACCACAGCTGCTCTACAGGGGAAAGATGCGGCTTACTGCTCCAGTAAAGAATTACAGCCTCAAGTGAAGTTGTAGGTCATTTCTGACCATAGTGACCTTGTGGACAACAGAACGAAACAATGCCCGCGCTGTGCCATCTTCACAGTTGTTCCTGTGCTTGAAGTTCTCACTGCCAACTTCTAGTGACCCTGTAGGACAGGGTAGAACTGCCCCCGTGGGCTTCTAAGACTGTAACTCTTGACAGGAGTAGAAAGCCTCCTCTTTTTTTCCCCACAGAGCACCAGGTGATTTCAAACTGCTGACCTTGCGGTTGGCAGCCCAATGCCTAAGCACTATGCCACCAGGGATTCTATGCTTGTAGTCACAAAAGGACAACTAGTGTATGCAGTTATTATAAAAGAAAAAAAAATCAAAATACAGGTTTTACGTACCCAAAGAAACCGATTTTGATAAGTTAGCAGAGTGGATTGGAAGGGAAGGAAAGTAGAGTGCTAGGGTAGAGGTAGACAGGTGTTAGCTTAAGTAAAGGGAGACATTCTATGATGGAGAAGTAAAAAGGAGATGGTGGAGTGGGAACACAGCAAGCTATTGGGAGATTTGATGAGTTGTTTAAATTGTTGAATACGGAATGATTATCTGCTTTTTTAACCCCCCCACCTAATTCAGTAAAAAGTTTCAAAAAAGCTTTACAGCCTCAAAATCCCGACGGAACAGGTCTACTCTGCCCTATAGAGTCTCTGTGTGTCACAATGATTGACAGCAGTGGGTTTGGTTTTTTATTTTAAGATTCCAATTAATTCCATTTAAATCTTTAAGGAGTATTAATAATGCTCGAGGCAGACTTTTTAACGAGTGAACCTAACCTATGGTTTGGGTTTAAGAAGACTACAGGGGGTATTTTTGTTTTTTTCATTCTTACCAACAATGAGTAAGGGTTCCAGTTTCTAAACTGTCTGGTCACCATTTATTATTTTTCTTTTAGCTGTTCTAACACCTTAAAACCAACTCAACAGCTCATGAATTGATTCTTGCAGTTGAACTGACAGTTCCTAAAATTGTGAATCTTTATAGAAGCAGGATGCCATGGAGTGGGTGGTGGATTTGAAACACTGACCTGGTTAGCAGCCTAGTGCTTTAACCTATGCACCATCATAATGCTTTCTTGTGGGAGTGGAATGGTTGGAATCTCGTGGTAGTTTTTATTTTAATTTATTTAAAAATAAAATGATGCTGAACCTCATTTCAGGTGCTTTGTGGCCATTTGCATATCCTCAGTGAAATGCAGATTTACGTCCTTTGTCAATTTTATAATTGGGTTATTTTGTCCTTTTCTTGTTAAATTGTTGGAAATATATATATATATATATTTGGGTATTAGATTCTCGTGTTTACGTGGTTTCCAAAGATATTCTCCTAGTCAGTAGTTTGCATTTTCATTTTTTGGGTAAAGTTTCATGATGAGCAAGAATGTTTAATTTTTATATGGTCCCAATTATTTAATTTACCCTGCTCTTTAGGCTTTTGTTATTACTGTATTCACTCGAGTATAAGCCACCCCAAATATAGCCGAAGCACCTAATTTTACCAAAAAAAACTGCATTAAAAATGTGCTGAAAAACTCGGCCTATACACGAGTATATATGGTATTTAGATGAACCCTTGTTAAAAGTTAGACATGACACAGCTGAGTTCACATGGTCAAGGTAGGGGAAGGGGATGTTGTCTACCTAGTGGCTCCCATGTAAAGCTATGAGAGTTCCCCCAGACAAGTAGACAGCCTTATCAGAGGGATGAGGGATACTGATGGAATAAACAAGTCAGGAGAGGGGAAAGGGAGCAATATGTCTGGGGGGCGGGGATGGGGGTGGGGGGCGGACAAAAATGCATGTCTGTTAGTCAGAAAAGCAGGAAGACTTACCTGCAGGGACATTAGGGGGAATGACCCTGGTGGTACACAACAAAGGCTACATTGACCTGGTCTTCTGGGTACATCCTGGGGACCCAGGCCTGGTGACATGGAGATCTGGGACATTGAATCTGGGTTCTTCAAGGTGCACAGCATGCTCCAGAGGCTGCATCAGTGAGGTCCCATGCAGAAACTCCATTGGGTGAACTGGACTCTCCCTCAGACACGCTTGTAACCTGAGGACTTTAGTCAGAAAATACATGGTGTCTGAGAAAGCGGAAGACAGCTGTGCCAAAATTGTTGAGCTGTTGGTAAGCAGACAAACGTGGTCTAGCTTCATCTAGACCCTGTATGCCGTATAAAGATATGTATTTTTCCAGCAAAACTGTGACTGATATTCTCAGTGATTAGTATTACAATTTTTCTCTGATAATTGACCCCCATTGTTTGTGTAAATAGTGTCCAGCCACAAAAGGATTGATTCTGTACAAATGAATAATTCACCTACTGTGATATGGAGTTAGCTTACATTGGCACAATGCCCTTCTTTCAACAGGGCTTTAAAAAAAAATAGTACCAGGAGCTAATCAAAGACAATATTAACAGAAGATCATTATGCTTCAGGGTGATGATTGATGAGAGACTACCACAAATTAACAAGTTTTTGAAAGGAAGCCAAAGGCAGATTGAAAAACAAAAGAAAAACATAGATCCAGGAACGGGTTTGGACTCACACTAAATCCTAGCTCTAACTTAAGAACAATTAGTTCTTACATCTTGGTCCTTCTCAATACTCACTCTCAGGAAGGGAACACAGAAGATATAGGTGCTATAGCAAAATGTGGTGAAGAAATTAGATGGTGCCTGGCCATCGGATAAAATAGTGTCTGCGGTCTTAAAGGCTTGTTTTCAAACAATCAGCCATGTAAGTGTGATGTCAACTAAGTCCACATGGAAGAAGCACATCATCATCAGTCACCGGAGGATTATAAATCATATAATCTGAAATCGAAGGAGGGAATAGTATCAGAGCTTAGGTTGTAAGAATCCAGATTGCAGAAGGCTATGGATGACAGTGGGAACCCAAGATTCATATGTGGGAACTAAGCCTCCGATGAACTCCTTCTGTCTATAATTGAAGGGATCAGGTATCAGGCATCATCAGAACAAAAAAATCCTATCATAGTGAATGAGGTGGGGATTGCTGAGTGGAAACCCAAAGCCCATTTGTAGGCCACTGGACATCCCCTTACAGAAAGGTCTCGGGAGGAGACAAGCCAGTCAGGGTGTGATGTAGCAAGGATGAAACATACAACTTTCCTCTAGTTCCTAAATGCTTCCTCCTCTCCCACTATCATGATCCCAATTCTGCCTTACAAATCTGGCTAGACCAGAGGATGTACACTGGTACAGATAGGAACTAGAAACAGATGGAATCCAGGGCAGATGATCCCTTCAGGACCAGTGGTGTGAGTGGCGATACTGGGAGGGTCTAGGGAGGGTGGGTTGGAAAGGGGGAACCGATTACAGAGATCTACATGTGACCTCCTCCCTGGGGGGCAGACAACAGAAAAGTGGGTGAAGAGAGACATCGGACAGGGCAAGATATGACAATATAATAATGTATAAATTATCAAGGGTTCATGAGGGAGCGGGGAGCAGGGAGGGAGGGGAAAAATGAGGAGCTGATGCCCGGGGCTTAGGTGAAGAACAAATGTTTTGAGAATGATGAGGACATTGAATATACAAATGTGCTTTACACAATTGATGTATGTATGAATTGTGATAAGAGTTGTATGAGCCCCTAATAAAACGATTTAAAAAAAAAGACTGTTGGAATTTTGATCAGGATTGCATGGAATCTATAGGTTGCTTTGGGTAATATTGATATCTTAACCATGTAACTCATCTAAGTCATGAACTTAGACTAAATATTATCATTGGTTTATATGAAAATAAACAAGAACCCTCGATTATTTTCAAACTTTGTAACTTGTTTCTTAATGCTGTTATATTGTTGTAGCACAAAACCATAAGAGACTGACTTTAAAGAACAACTCACTGCCATAGAGTTGATTCCAACTCACAGTGACCTTATAGGACAGGGTAGAACTGCCCCTCTCTGGGTTTCCAAGATTGTACCTTTAGGTGATAGAAAGCTTCTTATTTTTCCAGCAGAGCAGCTGGTGGTTTTGAACTGCTGTCCTTGTGGTTAGTAGTCCAATGTGAAACCACTACACTACCAGGCCTCTTAAAAAACAGAAGTTTTTATATTATTACTGTTCAGGAGGCTAGAAATCTAGCTTGAGATCCTCGTCTCTTTCATTTCTGTCATTGCAGCATTCCTTGGTTCTCTGGTGACGACCCATGGCCTCTGTGTCTCTGTTTGTGGTTGCCTCTTTTTCTAAGGATCCCTGGCGGCATAGTGGACCACACAGTTTGATGGCACCCACAGGGTCGGCAGTTTGAACCCACCAGCTGCTCCATGGGGAAAATATGCAGCCGTCTGCCCTTGTCACGATGTAAAGTTTTGAAAACCCAGAAAGGTTCTCTCTAGACTGTGTCCTAAAGAGTTGCTGTGAGTTGGGATTGACTCAATGGCAGTGAGTTTGGTTTTGGTTTTCTGTTTCTCATCTGCTCTTTTTAAAGCTCAAATAATTAGGTTTAGGATATACTCTATATGAATATAGCATCTTTGGCATAGTAAAGAAGACTGTCTAAATGTGATTATATCCTCAGCTATAAGGGTTAAGATTATAGCTCATACCTTAGGAAAACATAGTTTAATCCATAACATCACCTTGCCATGTAAATACACACTGTTTTATGTTTGTCTTTTGCCAACTTTGATGAAAAAATATAAAACATATTTACATGTAAGGCTGTGGTGTGTTCTAGTGAAAATAATGAAATTGGGTACCCCAAGACTCCTGTTTTAGTTCCAGCTCTCTCCTTCTTAGCTGTAAAATATAGGTCAAATTTTTTGGGGGGGAAGTCAGCCAGTTTGTTCACCCCAATTGACTTTTCTGACCTTTTCTTTTTCTTGTTCTTCTTTGTGAAATGCTTCCTATGGTGTTGTACCCTCAGGAAGAATGGGATGAGGATACAGTGAGGCTCATGAACACCTGCTAGAAACTTGTCCTTTGGAAGTTGAGCTCACTGTCGCCCCATCTTTGGCATAGCTTAATGACAAATACATGTTTCTCAGGCAGGTCTGGGTGTTGTTTTGTTTTAGCATTAATCGGTCATAGGATAGCAGAGGCCTTTGAATAGTTCTGTGGGGGGAGAAAGGTTTCACTGGAGTTTACTTGTAGTGAATAAATATGAAAAGGAAAGAGCAGTGAAGGAATTATAAAACTAAGTTACCAAGGGATCAGAACATAAAAGTAGATTTCACATCAAAAGTTCTGTTCTGAAATTTGTTTGGCTTATTTTATGACCATGACAAAGTCATTTCGTTTGTTCATGGCTCATCTTTCAACCTCTACAGCAGTGGACTTTGGGGAATTGCTGTTATTTTACAGGCATTCTGCTTTGAAATGTGATATAATCTAAGTGAGAGTTCTCATTAGCTCACAGTGGAGATGTTAAACATGGCCTCTCCCAAGGCCTTGCAGTGGGGTTTGTTTTTCTGACACTGGTTGGCTAGGGTCAGACTCCGACGTTGTTCTTACAAGTTGGAGATGGTGGAAGGACTTGTTTTGTTTTGTAAGTTGTCTTTGACTTTCTGCCTCGCTTGAAAACATTTGTAGCCCTGGACTCCTTTTCTAATAGTTAACATTCATCTTTAACTCCTGCATCTTCATATGGAATACACAGACATGTAGGTTTTTGTTTCATTTTGCAGTAAAAAGACTTGATAAAATTAAGTTCTTCATAGCACATTTAATACATTAACTCTCCCCTTCTTGGCTTCTCTGAATTGATTGCAACATCACTTTGACTTGATTATTTACAGGTAAGTTATCTTTCCCATCTTTTTTTTTTTTTTTTTGCTTTTAAAATCATCTTGATTTTTTGAGCTAGAAGGAAATTTAATAATCTAGTCTCAACTTTTGCTGTTTCACATGAGCTTTTCTTGCATTTGACTGTACTTTTCCATGTTACTCAACATACACTCCAAAGAGATGTGCTCTGTTCTTAAGTCCCGAGAAGACAACAGCCACGCTTGTACACATTGGTGTATTCATGAATGTTAGTTGCGCTGTGGGCCAGACACTATGCTAACGTGCAAAGGCGAATAAGACCATAGACTAGTGTGGGACTAATGTGGGACTTCACATTAGTAAGCAAGTAAGTGGAATCTACTGTGTTAAGAATGACACCAATGAAAGAGACCTCTTCCATTGGTGATCATGGGGGAGAACACCGAGGCAGTCTTCACAAGGCTTTCAAGTTAGTCTCCGTGTACCATCTTCCAGGATGAGTTGGAATATGGCAGGCAGAGGGAAGTTTGCAGGAGGGCAGTCAAGGCAAAGGGAAAGGCTTGTGCAAAGAAGTGGCCTTTGAGAGCAGCACACACTGGGGATTGCAGGGGAATTGCAGGGTGGTTCCAGCTTCACTGGAGGAGGAAGAGCACCATGTGGGAGAGCAGGAAAGAGGCTAGTGATGGCCACCAGTTACACCTTAAGAGTGTGCCTTATACACAAGCAAAGGAGTGTTTGGTTGTTGTTGCCCATAGATGATTGAGAGCTGACAACAGGCTTCACACAGAGACTGTAGGCAAAGTATTTGCATTTCAGAGCTATAAGAGTGCTTCAAAAAGTTTGTGGAAAAATTCACCAATCTAGTCTTTTCACATTCCATGAACTTTTAAAAGCCCCCTCATATTACTCTGTAAAAAATGGATTGCAGTAGAGAGAGCCAAGGAAACCACTTAGGTTATTGCTGTCATAGCCAAGGCTGTCCTCAGAGGCATTGCCGGAGGACAAGAAAGGACCAGTTAGCTTTCAAGAAACATTGCACAGGACACATGGACAGGATTCAATGACTAAGTGGTGAGAATAGAAGATAAGAAAGAGAACTCCAGATTTCTGGCCGTGACAAGTGGGTATCTACTGCATCTAGCATGCAGGCACTCAGTGGCTTTTGAAATCGTGACTGGTGACCATCTGATGCTTCTTCTTGATGATGTTTTTCCTGAATGATAGATGGCAGCCTATACCACTGCCTCTATATATACCACATGTAGTTTTCTGTATATGTGGGTTGGTTTCCTTATTTACTTTTTGAAGGCTAGCCCTGTTTCTTATCTTTAACTTTTTCCTCTAGCAGCCACTTCTGTGTGCCATCTCAGACCTACTGAATCCCAATTTCTAAGACAGTTTCCTGGGAATCTGAAAGTTAAGCTCTCTCTGGTGCTAAGAGATTAAGTCCTAGGTCTGTTGTTTGAATGCACCAGCGACTCCACAGGAAAAAAGAGGTGGTAGTCTGCTCGCGTGAAGATTTATAACTTTGGCAACCTGATGGGGCAGTTCTCCTCTGTCCTGTAGGTTCATTTGTTTTTCAGTGTCTTCAGACGTCACTGTAAAACAGTGAATCCATTGGCACAGAATTGCTTTTCTTCTATTAACTTTTCATTTGTTCTCATTCACTCCCATGAGTTCAACCAGCATTTATGAGCCAGTGGTCCTCAATATGGTTCAACAGAAAATAACCAAGAACTACAATGCAAGCTCTCCTACAAAGTTATTGTATTCTCTGACTTGTGAGAAGGAAGACGATTACAACAATAAAACCTACACTTTCACAGGCTGCTAAGATCTTGAGGGATTCTCCCCTAGTTTATTCCCTGAATGGTATTTGGTGAATGAAAGGGTTTCAATATATGTACAGAGTATAAGCAGACATTCTTTAAAGAAATAATTAAATCATAGTTTTCAGAAGGGCTTTTTTTACACTTCACTTCTGCCTCTATTTTTATACCTTGGTCTTGACATTGAAATTCTGGAAGACCATTATGAAATGTTATTGGACCCAACAATTTGATGTTCAGGCAAGAGGTCCTACTAGGATCATCTGTCGTTTGAATTTAGGAAGAAGAACCTTCAGTGGGGAGTCCCTGTCATTACTCTTTTCCAGTGTCATTTCCTTAATGTCTGACTCCTGGGCTCCTATGCCCGCTTTACCTGTGTATGGTAACGTCCCCACTGTGGCCTGGGCAGCTCAGGACAACCACATCGGGTGTTGTCAACACCTGCAGAGAGGCTTCCCCGTTATCAGATATGACATGTGTTTTTACAGAAATGTCAGAGAATGCTCCTTGTCATGTCAGCAGTCATCCTTTCCATGTAAAGTGTGACATCTAAAATGTCATCCTTGCTGATTCCTTATTTATTCCTTATTTTTTCGTCACTGACTCTTCTGTGTTTAAATCTTCTACCAGAATAAAATGGAGAGAAATCCCTTCCATTTTTCTCCACTCCCCTGAAGTCAAAGCCGGATCTACCAGTTGCTCCCTGCTACTGAAGTTGCCCTCTAACTGATGGTGACCCTGGGTACCATCAAAATGCTGCCAGTCCAGCTCCATTCCTATGATTGGTTCCAGAGTATGTTGTAATCTGTGGAGTTTTCAATGGCTGATTACCAGGCTTTTTTTTCTTATTCCACTTTAGTCTAAACCAAACCAAACTCAGTGCTGGGGACTTGATTCTGACTCATAGCGACCCTATGGGACTGGGTAGAACTTGACCCCTTCCCCCCAAGCTTGACTGGTGTTTTTAAACTGTAGACTTTGCCCTTAGCAGCCCAGTGTGTGCCCACTGTGCCATCTGGGCTCCTTCAGGTTAGTGTATCCAAAAGAGTCAATGCCGACTCCTAGAGACCCCATAGCACAGGGGAGAACTGCCCTGTATTTCCAACTGCCCTGTGTAACTGTTAACAGGAATATAAAGCCCCGTCTTTCTTCCTCATAGCGGCTGGTGGTTTTGAACTGCTGACCTTGTAGGTCACGCCCAGTACATAACCATTATGTACCAGGGCTCTTCATCTTGGTTTAGAAGCTGCTAAGTTCTGTTCACCATCATAGCAACACCCAGGCCTCCTGACAGATAGGTGGTGGCTGAATAGGAGATGCATTGGCCACAAATCAAACCCAGGTCTCTTACTTGGAAAGCGAGATTTCTACCACTGAGCCACGTTTCTTTCCAGATTTATCTGTTGCAACAGCAACCATCAGTCTCCTAAGTATCAGGCCTCTTCCCTAGTCCCTTTTATTTTTTTCTTCTCTAAATATCTAATTTTGGGGGGTCCCTGCTAAGGCATCTGATTTTTCACACAAAGCCGTATATGTTGAGAATTTCCTTTCAACCCTTTAGAATAGACTGCCTTGACTCTGAAGAGCGTATTTCCAAAATATATTTTAAGGAAATTGCGAGAACCTGTGACTTCTATGTTGACTGCATTTGCTATAGGCTGTGAAGAAGAGTCCTTCGCAGACTGCGCGTAAGTCGTGGAACTTAGAGTAGCTTTGCATGGAGACACTGCATAGTGTTTGGGCTTCGTCCCAGCACATACACGTCTGCAGGGCCAGAGGTGAGCTTGCTTGGAGGGATGCCAGGTGGCAGCCAGCATCAGGTTTGCAGTGCTGTGACAGCTGTGCCTTGCCTCCGCTATTGGCCAGCCAGAGCCGCTTGCACAGGAGTTATTGTGTTATAGGTGAGTTGCACGTGTCCAGACATACAGAATATAAATAATACAGTGCTTGCACAACATCCAAAGCACATAACCTCCAACTCTATGTCATGGGTGTTAACCCGCGTGTACATGTACAATGAGGTTCTCTTACACATCTCTATCGGATAAATTTACCCTTGATTTTTAGATCATGTGTTTGTGCACCCGAAAAACTCAAGCTTGTGTGGAGGTTATTTCCCAACAGAGTGTGACTTTAAAGGTCTGAACTAAGGACAGCTCCAGCAAGGCCCTGGAATTCCTTGGAGCCATCTGTCAGTCTGGCGCCGATAATGGTGGGCACTTCCTGATTACTCCCACCTCCCCCTGTATCCTGGTTTACACCCATCCTTCTTTTCCACTTCTGCCATTTGCAATATCATACAGTATACCAAGGGCTCAAGTAGAAAGCAAATGCTTTGAGAATGATGATGGCAACAAATGCACAAATATGCTTAAGCTAATGGATGTATGTATGGATTGTGATAAGAGTTGTACGAGCCCCCAGTAAAATGATTTTTTTTAAAAAATGGAAACTGGTAAGTATCAGACTAAGAATGTGCATCTCTCTCATTCAAAAGAGCCCTGGTGGGATGCTGTTGGCAAGTATTGGGCTGCTAACTGGAAGGTTTGTGGTTAAAATTCAGCCAGTCACTCCACAGGAGAAAAATGAGGTCGTCTGCTCCTGTAAAGATTTGCAAAACCTCAGAAACCCTATATAAGATTGCTGTGAGTCAGAACCAACTCAGTGGTAGTGTGTTTTGGGTTCAAAACAAATCTTCATTGCCCTTATGTGTTCAAGCATTCTCAATGTGGTCTTATCCACAGGGTGACGATACAGGAGTGAAGAGTAAAGTTTATCATATTGCCAAGGAGATCATGAGCTCAGAGAAAGTGTAGGTATCCAGTGTTTTAATTCAAAAGATTTTTCACGCATCAGTTCATTTCAAACATTTCTTTCATTGCCTTTTTTTTTTTTAACAGCTTTGTGGACGTGTTAAAACTTCTCCATATAGTAAGTATCTTCTGACATTTTCTTCAAGCCCAAGACTATCTCTTTAGCCCAACTAATTTAAATGTATTTAATTTTGTATTTACATGTTTGTGATTTCTAATTCACATCTGTGGTTTTTAATGTGCATGTGTGAACATAGGAGTTTTCTAAAAGTATGCATCTCGTGTGTGTGTATTTGTTGAAGTGCTTTCTGTACAATGGAGCCTGTATCGCTGCTCCGCTAAAGTCTCCAGAATTTGTCTTCGTATAAAGAGCTCTAAATGTGATAGTTTTTCTTCTTGGCCATTTGTGGAAGATCTGCTATCTGTAGAATTTTGCACTAGCAATGTACTAAGAATGTCAGGATGATTGTTGTTGAAAATCATTCCTCTCCTGTATGAATAAGCTTCCAGAAACAGATGCTGAAAAGTACACATTTTTACAACTAACTTTTCAAAGCTGTCAGCTTAAATGGGCCTGTTGAGAAACAATGATGCTGTGTTTAGTATATATTCACCTTTCTCATGCACTCCCCTGCACCTGCAAGTTTTAGCACTTTCCAGTAAGCAGTGGCAGTTAAGTGCTTTTATTTTAATTATATTGTAGCAAGATATGAAGACCTAACTAAAGAAAGGGGTAAAGTACAGGAAACAATAAAGAAAGAAGCTGAAGTGAAATTCACTTCCATCGTGTAATTGTTAGTGATCTTAAACTTAATTGTTGAGAAAGGGTAGATTCACAAAATAGACACCTGTCTGTGGCTTTGGAAAAGCTGTAATTATTTGCATTTTTCCTCTTAATAGATGACATATGAACATGAGTAATAGTGATTCATATTCGCCATTGATTTCTTAGTGTTCTAAACTTGGTCCAGCGGAAACATAGAGGTGTAATTCTTGTGGCAAAAATCTCTAGTATTGAAAGCATTTTCTAAAAAAAAAGAAAGAAAATTGTTCAATCACCTAAGAAACTACTGCCCTGTGAAGTTTGTCCTGAATCTTGACTGTTGGTCATTTCTTTTTTGTACTGAATTAAAAAAGAACGAGATAGCATTCGGTTCCCAGTATTTCAAAGGAAAGAATTGGGGTCAATTAAAATAATTCCGTGAAAGGTGGTGTTTTAGAAGTTGTTTTAATTTGTTCAGTGTCGAGCCTGCTGTCATTTAAAAATGTTCCATTGAAGCAGAGTCCATAGACTTGCTGCTGTGCTGTTGTCTAAGTAATTGAAGGGAAGAGAGAACAAAAAGTAAGCTGTTGTTTTCTGAGATACCCAGAGCACCTCTGGGATAAGCACCGTGTACTCATTGTCTGTCTTTTCTGACAAACTTTTAAAAATAGAAATAGAAACTCTCCAAGAATATTTTACCTATCTGCAAATTTATTACTAAGCTCTTAAAGGGGTGAGGGTGGGAAGGACCAAAAAAGCCTGGAGTTGGGAGGCAGACTTGCATCATGTCAACATCAGTTTATGATTTCAGCACACGCACATGTTGAGGATGTTGTTCTGAATAACCCAGTCCCTGTTCTCATGATGCTTACAGTCTAGTCCAGTGTTCCTCGATTCATCATGCTGAGGGACTGGATTGTTTTTCTTCTTCTTTTCACCCTTTCAATCTGTAGTGGAACTGTTGTTTTGTAGCATACAGTAAAAATGGCATAGCCATGGGAAACTGATATAGGATTCTTATTCTCATGTTTTGACTATCTCTTACAGAACCATAACAAACAATACAGAGGTGAATCCCAGTCTGCAGATCACACTTTGAGAAGCACTGATGTAGTTGATTTTTTTTCCTTTTTAACTGCCTGTGTGAATTCCAGAAAATAGATGAATCTTTCAGATCTCGTTCTTCCCATTTGTAAAGTATTAATACCCCCCTTCCAGGATTAAGACATATGACCGAGTCTACACTATTGTACGTGGCATATATTGGAAGCTCTTAAATGATCCTTTTATTAAAAAAAAAAAAAACTTAAAAAAATTGCCTTTCCTTGATATCATCTTCCTGTTTTTGAAGTGCATGAATGAAGGGGAATTATTCATTCCCTGACTACAAGCCAATAGATATTTTATGATCCTGTACTTTCAAATGCCTTTTTGAAGCAAGGGGGCGGGGGTGTTACTAAAATCATATTTTAGTGAAGTTAAGTTCTGATGAAAGTAGGTAGGGAAACAAATCCTTTACCACTTTTTATTTCATTATTTTAAAATCAAGGTACTATTCAGACCTTCTTAACTTTATAGAGTAGATCATAGGCACTATAGTGAATGGACATTCAGCTGTTTCCCATGTCATCTCAGGACTGATGGATCTGTTAGCGTCCCTTGGCCTCATTCCAACTGCCATGGAACAGACTGAGCCATTCTCAAATACTCCCTCCCTCCTGTATGAGTCAGAGTAGATCACCAACCTCATGCTAACAACGTTCTGCCTAGGGTAGGTAGGTAGGTGTTAACTCGGGAAAGCCCAACCTTAACGGGTGTCTAAACAGGAGTACACTAGCCAGGTTGCTGCCATTACTGGGAATAATATTCACCCAGCCTAATGTGGGCACAGCCACAGGATCTTGTTTCTCTTCTCCATTTCTCCACTGTGTTAAAGCTCAAATTTACTCTTCTACAAAAGGCATCCCACAAACATATCAAATAGGTAGCTTTAAATACTGAGCATGGCTGAACTCATCCAAATGAATGAACCTTAATGTTAGGTGATAGAAAATCGCTCCTGAAATACATACATTAAAAGGATTAAGGTAGTCTAGTGCAGTGGTTCTCAACCTGTGGGTCGTCACCCCTTTGGGGGTCAAACTGACCCTTTCACAGGGGTTGCCCGATTCATAACACTTGGAAAATTACAATTATGAAGTAGCAACAAAAATAATGTTATGCTTGGGGGGTCACCACAACAAGAGGAACTGTATTAAAGGGTCACAGCTTTAGGAAGGTTTAGAACCCCTGGTCTAGTGGTTGGGTTGGGTTTTTTGAGAGATCAAGTGCCCAAGAGGCTTGAGATGCAATTGTTTCAGTTATACACAATTTCCCATGAATATTAGAGACCTACAATGCCACCTTTTGTAATAGAACTCTCTGTGCTATTGGAACTATTCAGTATCTGCACTATCTAATATTTAAAATTTTAAAAATATGTTAATTATAGCTCACTGACACTTCCTTGTTTAGAATTTGGTAAATAGGCGGAATAGCTCATGGGAAATATCTTCCATGTAAATTTATTTAATGTATTTGATGTGTTTCCCAAAGTGGGTGATATGATATTGCCCCTGAGCGGTGCTGGGACAATCCCAGGGGCCACAGAAGCTGGATTATGGGTTTTAGTACAAAAGTTTTTAATTGCCAGATTGGCACAGATCAGTGTTTTTGCCTCCCCCAAAAGGGGAAGTGGGCCAAATAAACTTGGGAACTTAGGATTTATAGAGTTATTACATTGAAAGGAATAAGATTTAGGTAGAACACAGTGTGCTTTAAAATATACATAAATTCTAGGAACCAGTTTGCTTGGTCAGGGCCTTTATTCACCTACTTGCTGTTGGGAAAATATAGAATCTATAGAGGCAAAAGAGCTCTTGAGGTACAATGGGTTAAGCATTGGACTTTTAATTGCAAGTCAGTGGTTTATTAAATCCACCTGTCCATTTATTAGAGAAAGGTGGGTCTGTCAGTCCCCTAAAAATTTACGGTCTCAGAAACCCCAAGGAGCAGTTGTGCTCTATCCTATATGATGAGGCTTTGGCTCCGTGGCAGTGGGTTTAGTGCAGGGTTACAGAGGCAATGATACGTTTTTACCATTGTTTTATGCGACATATGTTTTGCATTAGCTACCATTTTTGAAGTGGATTTTTTAACGTTCATATTATCTCTAAATAAAGACCTCATTGAATTCAAAGAGAAAGGAGATTCCTAAATGTTAGTCTTTCCCTTTTAGCAAATGGTAGTACCATGCATGTAGCTGCCAAGGTCAGAAGAGTAGAATGTGTTCTCCAACCTCCCCTCCCCCCAGTGCCTATTAGTAGAGTGACCACACGTCCTGGTCTGTCTTGCCATATATTAGAAATAGAGCCCATTTCTACACTCAAACACCATCCAATTTGGATAGCAAATGATACCTATAAGGTACTATGTGATTTGGTCTCTGGTATTGAGATACGAATTTGGAGAGGGGAAGCATTCTCCTACTTTAAGACCCTGTTCTGGTCATGCTGGCTTCTTTTCTGTTCTTAGTTTAGTGCCAAGTTTGTCTGTCTATGTTTTTTGCGAGTGTGATTTCCTGTAATATCCATTGTTCTTTCATTTTCCTCATAACTAGTTCTTTGTCCCTTGTCCTTCTCATTTGGACCTTAGAGAGGTCTTCCTTGGCCATTCTGCTCTCATTAACCTCCCTGTATTTACTTTCTTCTTGGCATTTAACATATCTTATTTGTTCATTTTTTAAAACTCTTTTTGGTTTCCTCTCCTAAAACTGTAACCTTAATGAGAGTCAGGACTGCATGTCTCAGGAGCTACCCTTTTAAATGGTAATAATTCAGTAAATATTTGACTGATGAATACGACAAGTTCTTGTTCACTGCCATCAAGTACAGCTGCTGATGGTATCAAATTGCTGGTGTTGCAGTTAGCAACCCACCATGTAACCACTACACCACCCAGGCTCCTGTAAAACTAGTTACTAGTTAAGAATTGTGCCGCTACCATTGACCGTGTGCCTCTGAACACGAGTCAAGCTGTGGCTGCTGCTTCTGGAAAATAGGAATGATAATAATAATGCCAGTACTAATCACAGAAAATTGGTGGGATGACTTATTTATGTGAATATTAAAATCCATGTTATTTTGTTTAGACATTAACAAATAACATTTAGTCAAATTAATCAAAATGGAGTTTGTTCATTAAATATATCCAACTAGATTTCTCTATCAGAAATTAAGATAACATGAAACAAAAACTCACTGTTACCAAGTAATTGCTGACTCATAGTGGCCGTCTGTGAGTTGCCAAGATTGTAA